AAAGAGTTTAAAACTCAAGTAATTGGCTGGGATCATGAGCAAGCAGCGCAAAAAGAGTCAGACTATATTATCTTACTTTGGTGAAAAAGAAGATCAAAATATACAACCAGAAGAAGACAACAAAGTCAAAGCTCCTACATCCAAAGCCTCCAAGAAAAATATGAATCAGTCCCAGGCCTTGGAAGAGCTCAAAAGGGATTTTGAGAAGCAAGTAAGGGAAGTAGAGGAAAAACTGGGAAGAGAAATGAGAGTGATGCAAGAAAATCATGAAAAACAAGTCAACAGCTTGCTAAAGGAGACCCAAAAAAATACTGAAGAAAATAACACCTTAAAAAATAGCCTAACCCAAATGGCAAAAGAGGTCCAAAAAGCCAATGAGGAGAAAAATGCCCTAAAAAGAAAAATTGGCCAAATGGAAAAGGAAGTCCAAAAGATTACTGAAGAAAATACTTCCTTAAAAATTAGAATAGAGCAATTGGAAGCAGTGACTTTATGAGAAATCAAGACACTGTAAAACAAATCCAAAAGAATGAAAAATTAGAAAACAATGTGAAATATCTCATTGGAAAAACAACTGACCTGGAAAATAGATCCAGGAGAGAGAATTTAAAAATTATTGGACTATCTGAAAGCCATGATCAAAAAAAGAGCCTAGACATCATCTTTCAAGAAATTATCAAGGAAAACTGCCCTGATATTAGAACCAGAGGCAAAATAGAAATTGAAAGAATCCACAGATCTCCTCCTGAAAGAGATCCCCAAAGGAAAACTCCTAGGAATATTGTAGCCAAATTCCAGAGTTCCCAGGTCAAGGAGAAAATATTACAAGCTGCCAGAAGGAAACAATTCAAGTACTGTGGAAACACAATCAGGATAACACAAGATTTAGCAGCTTCTACATTAAAGGACCACAGGGCATGGAATATAATATTCTGGAGGGCAAAGGAGATAGGATTACAACCAAGAATCATCTACCCAGCAAAACTGAGTATAATCCTTCAGGGAAAAAATGGTCATTCAGTGAAATAGAGGACTTTCAAGCATTCCTGATGAAAAGACCAGAGCTGAATAGAAAATTTGACTAAAGATATACAGGACTCCAGTGGAACATGAAGAGGTAAACAGCAAAGAGAAATCATAAAAGACTTATTAAGATTGAACTGTTTACATTCCTGCATGGAAAGATGATATTTGTAACTCATAAGAACTTTGTCAGTATTAGGGTAGTTGAGGCAAAAAATTATATGTATGTATAGATAGATAGATAGATCGATAGATAGAGGGCACAGGGTGAGTTGAAGATTAAGGGGTCATATCTGGAGAATAAAATTAAGGGATGAGAGAGGATGATACTCAGAGAAGAAAGGGAGAGGTAGAATGGGGTAAATTATCTCACAAAAAAAAGGAAAAGTCTCTCACAGTGGAGGGGAAACAGGGGAAGGTGAGAGGGAATGAGGGAATCTTATTCTCATAGGATTTGGCTTAAGGAGAGAATAACATACACATTCAATTGGGTATGGAAATCTGTCTTACCCTACAGGAAAATAGGGGGAGAAGGGGACAAGAGAGCAGGGGGATGATAGAGAGGAGGGCAGATTGGGAAAGAGGGTAATCAGAAGCAAATACTTCTGAGGAGGGACAGGGTCAAAAGAAAGAATAGAATAAATGGGAGGGCAGGATAGGATTAAGGGAAATAGAGTTAGTTTTTCACAACATGTCCACTATGGAAGTGTTTTGCATAACTGCACATGTACAACCTATATTGAGTTGCTTGCCTTTTCAATGAGGGTGGGTGGGGAGGGAGCAAGGGAGAAAATTTGGAACTCAAAGTTTTAAAAACACATGTTTTAAAAAAAATGTTTTCACATGCAACTGGGAAATAAGAAATACAGGAAATGGGGTACAGAAGTCTATCCTACCCTACAGGAAAATAGAAGGGGAAGGGGATAAGAGAAGGGAGGGGGGAGAGATAGAAGAGAAGGCAGACTAGGGGAAGGGGTATTCAGAATGCATGCCATCTTGGGGTATGGGGAGGGGTGAGAAATTTGGAACTCAAAAACTTGTGGAAGTGAATGTTGAAAACTAAAAATAAATAAATTTATATTAAAAAAAATTCTTGCTTTGAAAATTTTTTTTTCTGGATTAAGGTTTTTCAGAAGGTCTTCAAAATAGCTTTCAAGTTTTATACCAGCACTGGCTACTTCAGAATCAAGCTCATTGAATTCAGCACAATTTTCAAAAATCAGTCGGAAATCAGCTACAAAATCTTCAGGCTTTATATACATTGGGGAATCCACTTGGAGTTTCTTCTTAATGGCAGGTCAGTTTTTAATATGAAAGACTTTACCTCTTCTTCTAATTTTTCAATTTTTCACTTTGTTTTAATATTTCTTGTTGTTCATGGAGTCATTAACTCCTCTTTGGCCCCTTCTGATTTTTGGAGAGTCTCTTACTTGAGTGAGGTTTTTGTGCTAAGCTGTTCATTCTTTCCAAGTTTCTCCTCTGTAGCTCTCATTTCTTTTCTGATTCTTTCCTCTGTCAGTCTCATTTCATGTATAATATTTTACACTTTTTTTTAAAGAAAGCTTTTCTGATTTCTTCTAGAAATTCTAATTGATCTCGTGGGTAAGCTCTGTTTTTCTTTGAGGCTTTGCTTGTGAGCAATTTGGAATTATCCTCCTTTTTGGGTTCTGTGTCTGGCATCAGTTCCTGGAATCATAATAGTCTTTTTTTTTTCCAAATTCATTCCTCCAGTGATCTGCTCTGAGCTACCCAGGGTTGCTGGCCTAGCCAAGTGCTCTTGAATCAGAATCTTGGATCCAGGCCCTTCTGGTAACCCCTGCTCTGCTGTCCTAGGCTACAGAACTGAGTTGATGATCTGCTCTGGGCAGCAGCATACTCAGGGCTCTGGGGCTTTTAATTGGTCTCCCATCTCAAGTCTCTCTCCTACTCCAATCCGTCCTCCACCCGTCTGCCAAGGTGATTTTTGTAAAAGAATAGTCTGATCTGTCATGTCCCTGCTTGAGCTCCTGCAGTTCCCTACTGCCCCCAGAATCATATATAAAGTCCTCTGTTTGGCATTTAAAGCCCTTCCTAACCTCAGACCCTTCCTGCCTTTCCGGTGTTCTTATCCTTTACTCCCATCTACCCGCACTGGCCTACTTGTAATTCCTCACACAAGACATTATCTCCCAAATCCATACCTTGGCATTGATATGCATGAATATTCTGTTCCCTCATCTCCCAACTCTTATTTTTCTTCCTTTAGTGTTCAGCTTAAATCTCACCTTTTTTTTTGTTTGTTTGTTTGTTTTGGTTAGGCAGTGCAGTTGAGTGACTTGCCCAGGGTCACACAGCTAGTAAGTGTTATGTGTCTGAGGCCCGATTTGAACTCAGGTCCTCCTGACTCCAGGGCCAGTGCTCTATCCACTGTGCCACCTAGCTGCCCCTCAATCTCACCTTCTACAGGAGGTCTTTCCCAGCCCCCCTCCCCTTCCTCCCCTCAGTGCCTTTCCCTTTCAGATTACCTTCATCTACTCTGCATTTATTTATGTCTTGGTGGTTGCTGTTTGCCCTTGGTTCTGGAAGAAGACGAATGACCTCATGAAGGTGATGTCTTGACTTACATGGGAATTGAATTTAAGTGAGGCAGAACTGCACAGAATCTTTGGCCTCACTCTATCCTCCAGAGTCATCGAAGTCCAGTGGCAAGACAAAAGTCAAGACAGCTGTTGATGGCTAGGCATTGCTAAGTCCTGGAGATACAAAAGCAAAACAAAAACAAAAACACCAGCCCCTGCCCTCAAGGAGCATACTAGTTAAATACAAAATAAATGCCTCCCCCCCCACAAAAGGCCAAGGTCATTCATCCATTACATTTATCTTGCTTTTGTTTTGTTTTATTTTGCTTTTGTATCTGCAACACTTAGTATTGCCTAGCACACAGTAAACATTTAATAATACTTGTTGACAATTGACTAGCTGATTAGTGTGCTGCGATACCTCAAGGGTCTCTTAGTGGCAGAAGCCTGGAGAGGATATATCACTGGAAAGTTTGTTTCAGATTTGGTGCATGCATTGTAACATTAACATACACCCATAATCACTTCCTGTTCTCTAGGAATGGGGTTCTCTAAGATTTTTGTTTGGGTTGTTCTACCACCTTCACCGTGGACTTTGTTCCCTGGGTTAATTCCTTCACTCCAAGTACAACTCCTGAATGGAGGTAGGTGTTTTTGAGTTAGGGTAGAACAACTGAAGAATGGCATGATGTAGTAGAGATCAATATTGAGCTCCTAAGTGTGAATTTGTTTATCAAGGCCTTTCATTTTCATGCACAACCACGGGGAAGGGATGATGGAAGAAGGTCGATGAGGTGGGGAGGATTGATGGGACAGGCTTCATGGGAGTGATTTTTGTCTGGAATGCAGGCAGTAGGCAAAGAGATCAAGGAGGGGCATCATTGTCCTTGATAAGAGCAGCATGAGTATAAAGGAATGGAGGTGGGAGATCAGAATGTATTTTGGGGGCAGAAGACTCCGATTTATGGAGAGTATAGATTTTATGAGATGAAGCAGATGTAAGCAAAAAAGGTCTGTCTTCCTACAATTGTGTGAGTTGAGGTCAGTCAGTCAGTAAGCATATTAAGCTCTTACTACGTGCCAAGAACTGTGCTAAGCACCAGTGGGAGGAGTATACCCAGGCCACAAGGCAGAATGTCTTAGGAGTCAGCCCACCCCCACACCTGAACACATCTTCCATGAAACGAGAATTCCTATTATTCAGGTTAGGATTTGTTTAAAGCTTTGCCACCCCGGCTCCCCACCCCCTCCCCTTCTCCCTATCCCTGACTATTTCCTCCCTTCTCCCTTTGCTTGCAGGTGACACCAGAGGCTCCAACCATCCAGGTCTCCTCTGTCACCAAGCCAGTTCTTTGCATCAGCCAGCTGGCTTGGGGCAGATCCCCACAACTGTCCTCTTGTCTCAGACTTGGCAGCTCCTAGTTGCGGCTGTTTGAGGCAGGAAGGATAGGCAGGTACACTGTGTCACCCTGGCTTGGACCCAGCCCTTGTGCCCTTCCCTGTGCTGCCTAATGAGGAAGTGCCTCATGCTGTAAGGGAAAGACTGGGGGGATGGGGGGAGCAGCACTGTTATTCTCATTATAACTCATGATTTATGGGAAGAAGAAAGAAGTTCATGCCCTCTCCTCCTCTTCCCCTTGCCCTGAGTTCTCCTCTGAGGTCAAACCCATTGGTAAGAAGTATACAGTGACCTCTTGTCCTTTTTTCGAGGTAGGGGAGACAGTGGTGAGATTTCCCTACTATCTGTGACTAGTTCTTCAGGTGACCAGGCAGGCAGGAGGGCCTGAACAGGGGGTAAGGGAGTTAGTCCAGCCCTTCTCCCACTCTTCCCATGGACCAACCCAGAGCCCGCACTGTGAGGTCAGCACATTCCAGCCACCCAGCCCTGCCCAGAGCTGTCCACAGGGGCTGGCGGCTGGACATGTTCCCCAGACCCCAGTCTTCCTCAGGACTGGTTGGCAGCATCCCATGCCTGCTGCTCTTGGTTGTCAGCGTCTCTTCAGCTGCAGGTACTCTGCTGCTTCCCACCAGTGTGACACTGGGCAAATTACTCAACCTCTCCTGGCCTAGGGTTCCTTATTTATGAAATGAGGAGGGTTGGAATAGATGAGGGTTTGAGGTTCTTCACATTTGTGAATTCTGTGGAACCTGCCCTATTTCCCTCTACCCTTCCCCCATTCCTGGCTGCCCAGCCTGGGAAGAAAAAGGGTTCATTAATATGTTCCTTGACCCTGTGACTTCCTGGTTCTGGTCACTCTTGCTAAGTCTCATGTCTTGTCTGCTGACTCCTCTCCTCACTCACAGCCTTCCTGGGGCTAGAGAGAGGAGAGTGAGAAGGGTGAAACTTATTCCTCCTGAGGAGAAAGCCTACATGACCTGTACTACCTCTAATTATGGACATCAGACTTTGGAGGGGATATAAAAATTCCCCTGAGGGAAAGGGGGTTCCTTCCTCTGTCATCCTTCCCTCTCTCTGATATCCCCCTCCATTTGTCCTTTGTTTCCTTTCCCTGGTTAGACTCTATCTCCGTTGATGGAAAGCGCTGTGAGTGTGGTCTGGGGCTCAGCCGGGAGGCTTTGATTACCCTGCTCATTGTCCTTGGAAGTGTCAGTGTGAGCTGCTTCTCAGCCCTGCTCCTTGTGGTCTTCAGCATTATTCGTACCAAGAGGTGTGTGGGGCTGGACCAGGAGCTGAGGAGGAGCTCCCAGCTCTCTCGGTTGGCAGGAGTGACAGGAGGAGACTGGGTCCCATGGTTGCCAACCAAGCTGGGCACTGGCCATTTTAGGTCCTCCAAGTGGGGAGTAGATGCTCTAATCAGTATTATGGGCAGCATGTACAATACTCAAGGGAGTATATGAGGGAGGAGGGAGGTTAGATATGGGAAGATAGGTAGAGAAATATGGGAGTGTCTGAGGGGAGGAAGAAGTGGTTACGTGAAGGATGTGGGAGGACTGAGTGATAGAATATGGAAGGTAGTATAAAGACTATATGGGTGATAAATATGGAGAAGGTATTGGCTATAGTGGAGATGGAATATAGGGATGCTATTTGGATTATATGGGAAGATGGAATATAGGAGCAGGATGAGGATTATGTAGAGAGTTAGCATATAGAGATGGTGTGAGCATTATGTTGGGCTTTCAGAATGGAGTACAGTATTATGTAGAGATAGAATGAGAAGCTGAATGTTGAAATTATATGGGGGAGAGAAATAGAAGTTATGTGGGAGGTATATGGGATCTGGAATAAAGTAATGTAAGAAAGGGATAAAGTATGAAGAGAACATGGGATAGAATATAGGACTGGTATAGGGAAAACATGGGGGGCCATAAGTGGATATTTGGGGGCTTGAGGATGTGTGTGGGGGAGGTAGAAGAAATATTCTTCTGAGCTAGATGTCCAGTCTAGGGTCCTTCTGGTCCTTGAAATGGGTAGTGGGTAGGAGAGAGGAAGGTTCTCTGGGAAAGTGGGCCTGCTCCCTAACCTTCATGTATCTCAGTGGCTATGACAGTGCCCTAAAGCATTGGACCCAGCTATATGGAAACTGAGTGATGGGGATCTTTCTCAGGGGGGTAAGTCTGCTAGGCTCTGCAGGTCTTAGTGCCTGGGGAGAAGGGGAGAGATTAAGCTACTTCTGGTTCTTCTCTCTCCTATTCCTCTCCAAAGGGCCATTACATCAGGCTTCAGTTACTGATGAACCCTCTTTCCTTGTGCACACATCCCATTGGTCCTCTAGAGCTCTAGAGGCCAAGCTTTTACTAGGTGACTCTGGAGTGAACAGAGTGTTCCCATTATCTCTGTTATGATGCCATGATATGGATCTTGGAACTGTAAGCACACCCAAAGTCCTTTGCTAGGGGAGGGTCATCTGGTCCAGATGTGCCCCCTCCTTGCCCTTGCCCCTCAACTTTGGCTGAAACTTCGCTCACTCAGTCATAGGACATCATCCCAGTGTTTAGTGATGGGGAGCTACTTTCACTTGTGGCCACCATCACGCTGTATGCTACAAGGAAGCCACAAACAAATAACACCTGTGGAAATGAACCAAAAGAACGTACTGCCAGGACATTGTGTGGAAGGCAGCCCCTTAAATGTTCCATCAGAAAACTGTTTCATCAAGAGTTACGAGGTGCTCGAGTTGCTGGAGGTCCCTGAAATCTTGGAGGAAGTTCTGGAGTTTCTAGACTTGGAGAAGGAAGTAGTACTGTGCTTTGAAAAGCCACCCTTGGAGGAGAATTGAGGAAGTAGGATGGAGGGAGGAAGAGACAATGGGGAGAGGGGAAAAAATTAATACATTACTTTTTATCATTGTTTGGGCATCCTGTGTGAGTCAGAGCCTGTGTCAGTCCGTGTAGGGATCCGAGTCTGTGGGGGTCTCTATCTGGGTTTGTGAAGTTCCAAGGCAGCTTGGGAGTTCATAGGTGTCATCCCCGTCTTTTTAGCCTTGGCCATAATGGTGGGCTTGAGATGGAGTGAATGAATGATGAACTTTTTTTTTAACCACTAGTTGGTAGGAGTCATCCCCCACTAAAAGTGGGGGCCTGGTTTGATTTTGAGAGCTACTATCCTCTGCATGGCTCTTACGGGAGTAAGAGCCCAAACCCCCTCACGCAAATCCTTTGGAAGACAGAACACACAATCTCTCCCTTCATCCCCTCAAAAAAGCCTCTCCTCTTTCTTTCTGGAATGCCTCTCAACACATAAAACACCCTCCCTTCAGAGCCTCTCCAGCCTTAGAGACTGGCCCCTTCTCCCAATCTGCCCCAGGCTCAGCCCACTTTTCCCTAATCTCCCTTCTCCTCCCCCTTTCTAGCTCTAGCAGGAAATGAACCACCCAGCACAGGACTGGGTGTGCCAACAAAAGTAGTAACATCTACATATCCATGGGAATCTGTCCAGATCCTGCCTCTGAGACCCTGCGCCTGGAGGAACAAAGCCAGGGGTCTGGGCTCCCAGGGCTGGCTCAAACATGGTAGGAACTGGTTTAAGCTGAAGTCAAACTGGCTTGACATTCCTCCTACCAGTTAGGTCTCATCATCACCCATCTCACCGGGGCTGGGCCAGTCCATATCTCCTCCCAACAACTGCCCATCTGGGGCCACCAAAAACATTCAGATAAACAATTTTTTTTTCTTTTTGGTGAGGCGATTGGGGTTAAGTGACTTGCCCAGGGTCACACAGCTAGTAAGTGTTAAGTGTCTGAGGCTGGATTTGAACTCAGGTCCTCCTGACTCCAAGGCCAGAGCTCTATTCACCGCGCCACCTAGCTAGCTCAAACTGGCTACTTTTCATGGGCACAAAGAGACATAACACAGAACTGGGATTCTGACACAGGTTCCCATTCAGACTCAAGAGATAACTCAAACAGTGATCCACACATAGGTTTGGGTATGTAGATACGCTGACACACACATAGACTGATTCTCACATTCAGAGACTTGGACACACAGATTTATACACAGGAAGGCACTCACATTGGAACACATAGCATTTCATGTGCAGATGCCCACAGACCCAGTCACATACGAGCAAAGGGCAGATTCCTGCAAGAATGAAGATACCAAACTGGATCAATACACACATGCAGGTCCAGCTTGCAAAGGCACATGCAGACGGTCTCATGCAGGACACAAGAAGGCATATGCAGACAGATGTGTTCAAAGAGACTGCATTTCAGGCCCTTGTTGTCTTCTCCGCCCTAGCTGTGCAGCCTGAGGAGGAAAGGGTGGGAATAAGGGTCCAAGCTCTGGGATCAGGGAACACCTGGAGGTTGGCTCTGGCTGACACCCCTGCTGGTCCCCAAGGCGGGAGGACAAGGACAAAGCTGTCAGACGACCTCCTCTCTGATAGAGGCCCTAAATGTGGAGATGGGAAATTCCTCATGCTTGTTATGTTGGCGCCATCCTACTTATCCCATTGCCTTTATGAAGCAAGGAACTGGGATGGGAATGAGATGCGGGAGAAAATAAAAGGACCTCCTAGTTAGTAGCCTGGACTGGTCCCTTGGTCCCTTGATCTTATGTTGAGTTGGGGATCCCCCTCCCTAAGTCTTCTTTTCAACCTTGAGTGGCCACAGGGCACAGCCTGGTTGGTGCTAGGAGCAGCACACTGCCCCCGTCCAAGGGCCTGAGGTGCTGCCCTATGGTGGACTGTGGGGGAATGGGGCATGCAGCTCCCAGCCTGGCATCAATTAAGACAGGTTAGGTGCTCCTGTGCTTACTAAGGGACCTAGCTATGCTGAGGTGGAGCTGGCCCCAAGCCCAGCAGGTGGCTGGTAGAGCTGCTGGGTTTGCTCAGAGCCTCACCCCCCACCCCCCACCCCACAGAATCCTGTCCCAGGACAGGATGTACAAGAACTTCTAAGCTGGTGAGTTAATATTTGTTCAGAAGCAGGTGAGAGTCAAAAGGGACAGATAGATGGGCAGAGCTTAGAGAGAAGACACCCAGAGGAATTTTCCTAAGCTAGGACCTCCCGACTCCTAAGGCTTACTTTCTGACTCGCTGTTTGCTGCCCTGGTGAGCTGCTTTGGGGTGGGGGGGCAGAAGGGTACCCAACAATGATTTTCTCCTCCTTTTTGATGCCCCTGGTGCTGATGATCCTCTCCCCACCCTCTGCCCCAGGCTCAACCTGGAGCTGCCTTTCTGAATGTGTTTGTGGGCAGGATGGGCAGGTCAACTGCTCTGGGAGGGAATTGCACTCTGTGCCTATGATTCTGGACCCTGGTGTCCAAGTTCTTCTCTTGGACCACAACCATATGGACTTCTTGCCCCCAGGGGCCTTTGCCCTTCTGCCCAGGCTGCTCTCGCTGGAGCTTCAGGACAATGGATTGCAGAGAATGCATGTGCATGCCTTCTGGGGCCTGGAGGTCCTGAAGTCCCTAGATCTAAGTTCCAATGCTCTCCAGGCCCTGGAACCTGGCACCTTCCGGCCACTTGGTGCACTCCGTAGCCTGTCTCTGGCAGGGAACCGGCTGATGCGGCTGGAGCCCACATGGCTGGGTCCCCTGCCGCTGCTGCAGAACCTAAACCTGCAGAATAATCTGCTCTCTAGCATGGGCTCGATGGTCGTGGACAGGCTGCCTGCCTTGCGCATACTGAACCTCCATGGGAACCCTTGGGTGTGCGACTGCACCACTTCCTCCCTCTGCCGCTGGCTGCGAAGCCATACACACCAGGTCCCAGGTGAGGATGGAGGTCAGTTAGAAGAGAGAGGCTAGAGGCGTTTGGGTGGGAGTGTTGGGGGGGTAGAGGATGGGCTAACCAAGATAACACTGTCCTGGGATGGAAGAAAAGTGGAGGACATGGGTATTACCATCTTGCCCCCAAGCCCAACCTGGAGGTGGTCAATTCACATGGGTCTGGTGGTACTATCCCTCATTCCCCACTCTCACCTCATTGTGTCCCTAGGAGCAGAGTCCCTGCTGTGTGTGTCCCCAGACCGACTGACCCTCAGGCCAATGGCTGCCATCACAGAAGCCTCATTCAATTATTGTAAACACCTGCTGACCCCTTGGGACCTGGCGGTCATCATTATGATTGGACCACTCTCATTTCTGGCCAGTGTAGCTAGCTGCTTCATCGTTGGTTCCTTGGTCACTGCCTTCCAGGCTCGACATAAAAACCGAAGTGTTCGCTACTGTCCAGTGAAGAGACCCATCCCCCAGACCCTTGGCCTGGATGACATATCAAAGAACCCAACCATTAACTTTCCAACACTATCCTCTCTATGACTTCTGTCCTCATTGCTGCATGGAGCCGAGCCTTCTGGCTTGTCCTATGACTTGGTACTTTGCGGGGAGTGACCCAAAGATCATCCCTCAATATAGTTGTGCCCCTCAATTCCCCAGGCAGAATGTTCTTGGTAGGTTGGCACCAAGAGAACCCCACCCCACCCCTAACCAACCCCCTGATCATGCTTCAGATCTCTGGTGGGAGATGGCTGTCCTCTTGGGGCAGGCATCAGAAAGCTGTCATGAAAACTGAGGCTCATAATGTTCAATTTGGCAACACCATGGTACACACCTGTACGTGGAAATGGCAAATGTCTGTACACAGGAATGTTATAAGCTTATACATAGGGATGGCATATGTCTGTACAGAGGAAGAGTAGATAGCTATACACAGTAATGGTACAGGAACCATAAGTGGGAGCAGCATAAGCCTGTACAATAGGGACAGCACAAGCCTGTACATGAGAAAGGCTTTACAAAATACTGGTGCACGTACCATGAGGAGGAATAGCATCTGTGTACGCCTGTACACAGAGATGGCTGGTGCACACCTTCTATGGAATGGCACACCCTGTACGTAGGACTATCTCACAGCGGTACACAGGGATAGCCCACATGGGTGTGGAGTACTGGAAAGGAGGTGTGGCCTTGGGTCAGGGGAGAGAGGCAGGTGGTCAATGCCAAGAGGCAGGAGGAGTTACAATCTTCCCTTTCCTGGGGGATGGAGGCTCACCCCAGCTCTGCAGTCCTGAAGGAGGAATTTGGGGGATGCAAGAGGTGAGAGAGGGACTTATTTCAGCTTCCAGAATCCAGCTGTCTTTCTCTCTAGGAACTGAAACCAAAATGGGTGTGGGAGGTGGGGAGTGGCAGAGCATGGTTGCCCAGTGCTGAGGAAGCCCACAGGCTGGAGCATTGAGGCAAGGAGAGGGGAGGTGGGGAGTGGCAGGGCAGCATTGGTGTAGAAGTAGCAGAGCCAGCCAGGGTAGAGCCAAGCCAGTGGGAGGAAGGGAGAACAGGCCAATTCAAGGGAGGGGGATGGAGAGGGTGTACAGAGAGGGAGGAAAATTGAACAGCTGGGGCAATGGTACAAGCAGAGTTTGGAGAGAGGGGAGTAGAGCCAGCTGTAGGAGAATGGAGCTGGGGTCATGGAGAGCAAAAAAGAGACGATGTGGAGGGACTTAGCAGGAACTGTGTTGGGTGGGGAGAGAGAGGGGGGCAATCGAAGAAAAGGAGGGAACTGAGCTGGGTGGGAGAGATAGGGATAACTAGGGCCTTCCTCAGGGTTTTCTTTTGCTTCCAGGGGTCAAAGCAGCCTGTGGAGTGAGGAACTTCTCTCGCCCCAATTTTTCCCCCCACAGCCTCTCCATGGCAGGACCAAGGTGATATTTGTGCTGGGATAGAGTGGGGATGGGGCAGAGTCTACCCAGGAAACCACACTGCCTGGTCAACCCTGGCTCCTGAATAGTCAGACCACTCACAAAACCAAACACCACATAGAGGGGATGCTGGATACCCAGAACCTGGGCAGGGTGGGGCTCACCCTGGGACTTGAGATCAATTTGCCTCGGTCAGGCTGAGGATTCAGCTTGTCCCTGTCACTGTCAATCCCAATTTCAGGTCCTCCCACCTTTAGCTTACAGGAAACTCCCAAGTCTTGGCACTTGGCCTACCTCCCCCCTGTGCCTATTTCCAGCAGGGATCCTGCCCTCTGGGTGCCAAGATAGGAGTGTGGGGAGGAAGGGAGTCGGGGGCAGCAGCTGCCCCACAGTGCTGGGGAGAAGGGGGGCAATATGCAGTCACTGGGGGCCGGGAGGACAGGGGACGGGGGCGTTCCCTCTGGCCTTCCCGAACAGGACCCCTTAGTCCTCAGGCATCAGTCCTGACCAGCGCTCCTAGTAGTTAGTAACTAGGCCGGCGGCTCCGGGAGGCCTCACACCACGGTGCTCACCGAGGGATCTGAGAGGTTGAGCTGCCCTGTGATATCAGTGGGATGGTACTGCTGTAAGATACAAATACACAGACAAGGCAGAGGGGGGGTTAGCGCTTAGCGCTCTTGGGGAGGGGGCAGGGCCACGGGCCAGCACTGTGGTTGGTGGAGCCGCCCACGGGGGGCACGAAAAGAGGTGCAGCAGGGACTGGGAGAGGTGGGGTGCGGCCGGCCCCATCCCAGGGGTTTCGGGAGTGGGAAGCAGCAGCCCCGGAGGGAGGGCCAGGGGGTGCCTCTCTTCCCCCCCCGTCCCCCGTCTTGCTCCGGGGACTCTGCTTTGGCCAGGACGCTGTCCCGTCTGCGAGGGGAGGGGAAGGGAGGGGCGCTAGAGCCGGTGCTGGGGGCAGAGGTGGGTGGGCCGAGGGCGTCTCAGCTCTCCCTATGGCGGGCACACATCTGGAGCTGTCCCTCCTCCCTCTCAATAGCTCTTCGCGGCAGCACCGTGTCTTTTTGGTTTTGCAAAGCGCCGCGTCCACCCCCGGTGCTCTATAAATAAGAATCAACAATCAATACCCGCTGGCCTGGCACAGCTGCCCGGGAGCCCAGCCCCTGAGTGCCCCCTTCCTCCCCCCAGCCCTTCCCCCCCCCCCCGGCCTGTCAGCGGGAGGGCGGAGGGGGGGCGGGAGGAGAGGGCGGGGCAGGCGGGGCTCTCAAGCAGTCCGAGCATTGCCCCTTCCCATCCCCCACCCCCTCCAAGCGGCACTTCCGGAGCTGAACTGACCCACCCCCAGACTCCCTCCCCATCCCTCCCGCTCCAGTTGGTAAAGAGGCCCCAGACTGACCACTGTCTTTCCCCAATCCTGGGTCCATCCCATCCCATTATGAAGAAACCCTGTGTTCCCCCATCAGGCACAGGACAGCTCCCGAGGACACCAAGGGATTCTTTGGCCGGGTGAGGGTTGTGATTGGGTTTGGGGTCTGGAGAGAGCTGGGGGCTCACTGGCCTCTTAAGGAATCTTGGAGGTGCTTTAACGAATAAAGACCATCTAAAATGATGAAACTCGTTTGCTGAATCAGATCACTGCCAAACTCCTCAGAAAGCTGATGTTCTCCCGCTACGCCCTCCTCAGGCTGCTCTGACGGGTCACCGGTGACCAGGAGACAAATCTTTTATTTTATTCGTCCTCATCTTCTTTGACCTTCCTGAGGCATTTGATATTGCTGGGGCCACTCCTTCCTTTTGAAATTCTGTGTTTTGGCCTTGGAAATATGGCATCCTACTGCTCTGAGCTTTTCGAGTGTAACCTTGAGTTTTCCAGGGCTCCCCTTCCACCTCTCACCATGTTGAGTGTTTCCTAAGAATTATTATCATCTCTTCTCTTTCCACCTCTCCCCTTTTCTCTGTCCTCTCTTCCTCTCTCCTCTTTCTCTCCCTTCTCTCCTCTCTCCTCTATCTGTGCCATGACTACAACTACCAACTTTATGCTGAGGTGGTACCCACTCTCTCTCCATCTCTAACTACTCCGCATGGTTTTCGAGGCCCTCTGTGATGATGGTATGGTTCCATACCAGGTTGGATTTGGAGTCAGAGAACCTAGGTTCAAATCCTAGCCCTGCCATTTATTACCTGTGTAGCCTTGGACAAGTCACTGAACCTTACTTATCTGGTGCCTCCATGTTAAACAATCTGGGTCAAGCTCTCATTATGTGTAAAATGGAGTGGGGCTAGACAACCTCTAAGTCTTCTTCCAGCTCTAAGTCTGTGAACATATTCAATCTTCTCTCCCATTGTCTTGGTCAAATTGGTCTCACTAATATTGGAGAGGGGCAAAATTTGTAGCAGAAGGACCCTGCCAGAGGGGACTGACAGGAAACTGAAGTCCAGGGCTATTCGTCTGCCTTTGTTCCCTTTTCCCAAAATGCCTTCCTCTTCCCTCTCCACTTATCTAAATCCTCCCTGTCTTTCATACTCCACACCTATCTTTGGGGAGCCCTCTCTGACCACTTGTTCTTCTTCTCTTCTTTGAAGCCATGCTGCACTTACCCTGCACTGTACAATTTAGCCCTTAATCACATTCTGTTTCATGAGGTTTTAGTGCAATTGCCTGAGACAGGATTCAGGCTTTCTGAGATTAGGGATCTTGTCTGATCCATCATCATATTCCTTGTAATGTTTTGCACACAGTAGGTGCTTTAGCTGCTGGGTGATTTTGTCAGCCTTGAGGCTGAAGTGGTAAATTTGCAGGCAATCAGGTTGTTACCCTTGGTATACTGTTTATTTTTCATGTTGGAGTCTGACTTGGTAAGGTTATTACTGCCTAAGAATAGGCCAAGGCTCATATCTAGTCCTAGACCCAGGAATAATAATAATAGCTGGCATCTACATAGCTCTTTAACATTTGCAAAGCACTGTACATGTGTTCACTCATCTGATCCTCATAATAACTCTGTGAGGGAGGTGTTACAATCTATATTTTACAGGTGAGGAAACTGAGGCTAAAAGAGGTTGCCAGGGGTTACACAGCAAATGCCTGAGGCAGGATTCCAACTCCAGACTTCCTGAGTCCAATAGAGGACAGCTACCTGCCTCACGCTAGGGAGAATCTGGGACAGAGGCTGAAGCTGTAAAAAGGGCTTCTTTCCATACCCAACCCTACTTAAGAGCTACTCCAGTACTTCCCCTCTGGTTGCTCCTCCAGTCTCTCTGCTAGTTGTCCACCTGGGGTGAGTCAAGAAGTAAGATATGCTCAGTGAAAATTTGAACTGAATGGGGCTTAATATGACAGCATCATGGTATCATGGAAGGAGGCCTGGATTTAGATGCAGCAAGGCAGCTAGGTGGTGCATGGAAAGACCACTGAACTTGAAGTCAGAAAGACCTGGGTTCAAGTCCTGCATCATATACTGACTGGCTGTGTGACCCTGGCCAAATCACTTAACCTCTCTCAGCCTCAGTTTCCTCATCTGTAGAATGGGGCTAGTAAGAATACCTACCTCATAGGGTTGTTGTAAGGATCAAATGGGATTTGATGTAAAATTAGTGCTTTGCAAACCTTAAAGTGCTATTTACACTCATTATTGTTTTGAACTGTGGCTCTGTTGCTTCTAACCAGTGTGACCTAGGCCAAGTAACTAAACCTCTGAGGCCCCAATTTCTTCATTTGTAAAATGGACTAGAGTCCCTTCCAGCTCTAAATTCTGTGGTCTTAGGGATGAAGAG